TCTTTGGCGTCCCGCACCGCCCTCGGGTTTTCCCGCCGTGCTCAGGCAGGCAGGAAAGAGGGAAAGGCTCCTTGGCATCCGTGGGGGGTTCCCGCAGGGAAGGGGTGACGTGCGGAATCACGACTTTAGAACCAATAAGGTTATAAAGAAGGTGTGTTCATTCAGCGCTGGGTGCAGGGGGATCGCTCCTCCACACCCTAGAGCTGTTGGCAAGGTCATTATATGCCACAAAGTAATACATATTCATCTATACTGCTGCATATACATTAGGTGTCCGAGGATAGGGAGGGGTTATTACAATTAATCACTAGCATAGTTGCCCCCCGAGCTCCTCCTTGTTGCACTTGCGCAGTATCTTCTGGTGGTCGTGGGCAGGGGTCTTTGGGATGAAGGCCGGATGTCTTCTGGCTGTGCACTTTTCACCTCTTGGCATTCCTTCCTGGGGTCTGCACCAGGGTCTTGTCTTCTCTGCAAGTTTCTGTGGGAGCATCCTCCCACACAATACCTTCCCTCACAATTCAGGCCTTATCTATACATTCCAAGCCTTATCTATGCTGAGCAGTGCCCTCCTGTTTACTCCAACAGTGTGTTCTGCTAGGCTGATAAGACAGTGGAATGTTTTTCTGACTACTGAGGCTTCAAGGCTGCACCTGCACTCTGCCGGCTCAGACACTATGGGGAGATCTGTGACCCCCCCCGTAAGAGGCTGTGTTAGATGGACAGCAAAATTGGCCAAAGATATTCCATTCCATATATCTACGTAAGCTCAGAGGAAGGTCAGAGATCACAGAAGACAACTTCCTTCCTTCTTCTTCTTCCCTTCTCTTCCGTCCATGGCCAGGGTCCGGGGAGGACTCTGTTCATCCATCACCATTGAACCTTAGGCTTGATCTCTCGTTACCCTCATCACTCTGTGCTTTCTCCAGCAGCAGCTCCGGGATTCCTCGGGACTCTTCCCAGTTCAGGGAAGTGCTGTGGGAGTTGCTGGAGTGGGGGGAGGCGAGAGGTTTTTGCCCATTCCTGAATATATCTGTATATAATTGTATATATTTTCTTGTATCATTCATTAGTGTTTTAATTAAAGCTGTGTAGTTTAGTTTTCAATCCAGCCAAGTCTCTCTCTTTTTCTCTCTCTCCTTCCCTACCTGGGTGGGAGGGAGAGGGGATCGAGAGCCTTGTTGTCGGACCTGAGTCAAACTGTGACACTTGTCTTCTCTGCAAGTTTCTGTGGGAGCATCCTCCCACACAATACCTTCCCTCACAATTCAGGCCTTACCTATACATTCCAAGCCTTATCTATGCTAAGCAGTGCCATCCTGTTTGCTCCTTATGTGTTAGTCCTTTCTACCAAGGTAGGCCATCTGGCTTTCCTCAGATCAGGGGCAGCGGCCGGGAAAAGAGGGGCTGGGCCCTTCTCGCTCTGGTCGAGTTGAGCTCAGGCCACAGCTGTTATTCCCTAAAGGCACGCGTCTCCCCGAGCAACCATCTCACCCCAGGGCTTTTGTGAGTAGTAACCCCACGTCCTCTCCTTCCCAGCCCCGCTGGGTAGGCCGCTGCCGTTCCTGGGAGCGCAGAGGGACGAGGCAGAGAACAGTAAAATGGCACCGCCGAGGCCCAGTTGGTAGAAAAAGAAATGTGATTCAGTCTCCTGGACGCGGGGTGAGCGCTAAAAAAAAGCACGGGGTTCCGCTCTCCCAGCCCCAACAGTCGGAGGAGCTGAAGTGAGGTTGTCACTGCAGACACAGGGAGTCCAGGCAGACAGAGACACACCCGCTACAGAGGCACAGAAGAGTGAAAAAGCTGCTGAGGCAGGTCATCCACTGCCAGTCTTGTATGCTGTTCATTTCGCACGGCTATGACCACTTCCATCCCCCAGGGTGGCTGTAGCTCCAAGTCATTCCCTCCAGGAAAAATGAGGGTTAGGCTCACGCTGCCATGATAAACGTGCTGCACCTCTAGGCTCAGCCAGAAGACAGGGCCCAGAATGGTCTGTTTTCAAGCTGAAAATAATAATAATCTGTCCCTGCTTAGTTTAAAACCAGAAATTAGTTCCTGAAATTAGTTAATGTGGCTTTAACTGGCCATACAGACAGCCCCTGAACGTAATTGTGTTAGGCTGGAAAACAGTCTCCATTTTACCAATAAACTCAGTAAATAAATTGGGGCAGCTGCAGCAGTGAAACACAAAGTGAGGAAACACGCACCTGCCTTTCTATCTAGCCCTTGCCATGACGTGTCAGAGACATTTGTCAGAAGGCTGCACGAGCCAGGAGTGGCAGTGGAAGCTTCCCAGAAGCAGCTGCTGGAGGTAACAGAAGTGGCTAATGAGGATGTTCCCTGTCCATCCCTGCATTACAACTACAGTGTCAGCCGTATGGTGTGCAGAGGGGGAAACACAACCTTCCTGACTTCTTAAGGGACAAGGCAACCTGCAGAGGATGTGTTCCTAGCAATTACAAATGATCCATAGCACCCGGTGTCACGATCCACGACCTATTATATCTCCTTTTTGAAGTGAAGTGAGCTTATCAGGATCTGCTGAGAGGTCCGCACGCGGCGCTCGCCTCTCGCAGAGGAGCAGGGGCTTCGGCACTGACCGTTGGGGTGAGACACTTGCTCAGTGCTCACTGGTGTTTCCAGTAACAGCAGCCAATCCCCAATTAGAATTTACGAGTACACGGTTTATTGAGGGGAAAAATAAAACAATTTGGGGCAGGAGGTTCAAAAAGGGCAATTAAAACACATAGGAGCTGTGAAATATCTTTTAAATACCAAATACTAAGAACTTACATATGCCTTAACACTTTTACATAGGTACACCTTATTTACACATTATCTATGAGGGGAGGAGGAAGGAGGGATATGCCCAACGCTTGTCCCATATAGGGTCGCAGTTTGCGTGCAGGTAAGTGAGACAGGAACACCTTAGGGAAAGAAAAAAAACCTGAGGTGCTCTAGGTACTTACATAGTAGCTGCAGGTGACTTCCCCTGCAACCCGGTCTTAGAACCACGGGTGGCAGGAAGAAGTCTCACCGCACAGTGCTCAGCAACAGGCTCAGGTTCCAGGCAGGACCTCAGGCAAGCTGGCAGGAAAAGCCACGGGCAAGGCGGGATGAGCCGGGTCGAGCTGGGACTGCAAGGATTAGCCGGGACTGCAGGTGAAGCGGGAGCCGGGCTGCAGGGATGAGCCGGAACTAGCAGGAGCGAGCCGGGAGCCAGGGACCTCAGGCAGGCACCCCCAAGGCGCAGGTCACTCCCCAAAAGCAGCAGCTCCAGTGTCTGTGCAAAGCACCCCCAAAGCAGCGTGTGCGCTGTCTCTTTTATGGGTCTCCTTTGCTCCCAATTGGCCGGTTTTGTATTTCTAGGGCTTCTCAGCCAATCAGACGGGGACTTTTTCCCACCACTGCAGACTTGCGGTTTGCAACATTGCAGCTGTTTTTCCTGCCACGGTTCCTCTCCAGCAGCCCCTGCCCTCTCAGGGCATCGGAGTTGTTGTTTTCTGGCAGAGGAGGCAGCAGGAGAGGGCTCAGAGTGCCACGCGGAGCAGCCATCTTTAAGCCAGTTATGACTGCTGGCCTAAAGGGCATGTTATGTTTGTGTGAGGACATATCTGGTCCTTCACACCCAGAAACAAATTTCTTTTCATCTGCTTGGCTCGGGAACAGCAGCTACACAGTTTCTGCATTATGCTGTCTCTCGTGTTCCCCACACACATCCATTTTTCACTCCTTTTCTACTTGTGCATGCTGTACCAAAGATAACAAGATTAGCATCTGAAACATCCGTATCAGCTAATGGTAATTAATTGTTCTCTGTTTGCATCACACAGTAAAATGAGTGTAGAGTACTGGGACCTCGTGACTTACACAAGACCTGCAGCTTACTGAAGGGCAAATGCTAGTTCTTCAACTTTTAGAGTTCTTTTGCAGTGGTGGTTTTCTGGCAGTAATTATTTTCCTGGGAGCACTGTTTAGAGAAAAGCAGCAAAGTGTAACAGCAGTTCAGACCACAAGATGACTAATGCTGATCTCAAGCATGTTTTTCTTTCTTTGGTCTATGCTGGCAGAAGCAAATACATGGAACTGAAAAAGTCCCAGACCCTTTAGGGGATGGAGGGCCAGAAACCTATAATGCAAAGCCAACCCATCACACAAAGAAATATTTTCTTTAATGAAAATATGAATACAGAGATAATTGAAGAGACTGCTTTTGGTCAAGGACAATAAATGTGTTTAAAGCATGATTACAAGAAAACAAAATGAAATTAAAGGCTTAACATTAGACTGTACAACACACACCTCATTTCCAGAAAGACAGACTCTCTAAAATTAAGGAAATTATAGTATCTCCAGTGGGAGAAAAGGCACCATGACTGGGTCTCACTGGGAAAACCAAGTAGGAAATAAAGCAAACGCATTTGCCCTTTGCAACAAACTGCAGCAGGTAAAATTGATTCTGGATCTCTTGTAATGAAGCTACAAAGGTAATCTGGCAAATAACCCACACATGACTCATGGACACACAAAGGTTTAGAAAAATGCAAAAGTTCTGCTTTTCTGAACATAAAAATTACCTTCAAGTTTGTCCCACGATCCCACTGTAAAGTATTCCATGGATCATTACCTCCTACACTGGAGGAACTTCACATGGATGAACAAGGAGCTCCTGGATGTAAAAACAAAGAAAGCAGAAGCAAGGACAGGTAGCCTGGAAGGAGAACAAAGAAGTTGTCCAAGAAGCTAGGGGTCAAGGCAGGAAAGCTAAAGCCCAGATCAAATAAATCTGGTCAGGGACATAAAGGGTAACAAGAAAAGTTTCTACAGCTGCATCAGGGGTAAAAGGAAGACTAGGGAAAATGTGGGCCCTCTCCAGAAGGAAACAGGAGACCTGGTCATGTAGGATATGGAGAAGGCTGAGGTACTCAATGAGGTTTTTTGCCTCAGTCTTCACTGGCAAGGGCTCTGGTCACATTACCCAAGTTGCATAAAGCAAAGGCAGGGACTGACTGGGAGAAGGAAGATGCCCGTTCTAGGAGGAGAGCAGGTTTGAGACCATGTAAAGAACCTGATGGTGCACAAGTCCATGGGATGTGAAAAGATCCATCCACGGCTCCTGAGGGAACTGGCCAATGAAGCTGCAAAGCCATCATACTTGAAAACTCGTGGCAGCCTGGCGAAGTTGCCACTGACTGGAAAAGGGTAACCCCCATTTTCAAAAAGGGAAAAAGGAAGACCTGAGGAATTACAGGCTAGACAGTCTTACTTCTGTGCCCAGCAAGATCATGGAGCAGGTCCTCCTGAAATCTCTGCCAAGGCACATGGAAAATGTGTAGGTGGCAACCAACATGGCTTCACCAAGGGCAAATTGTGCCTGACAAATTTGGTGGCTTTTTATGACAGGGTCACAGCACCAGTGGACAAGGGGAAAGCAACTGACGTCATCTACCTGGAGCTGTGCAAAGCATTTGATGCTGTCCTGCACAACGTCCTGGTCTCTAAATTGGAAAGACACTGATTCAATGGATGGACCACTTGGCGGATAAGGAAAGTAGTGGTTCACAGCTTGATGTCCAAATGAAGAACAGTGATGAGTGGAGTTCCTCAAGAGTCGGTATTCAGACTGGTGCTGTTTAACACCTTTGTCGATGACATGGACAGCGGCATTGAGTGCAAGTTTAATGACAACACCAAGCTGTGCAGAGTGGTTGACATGCTGGATGGAAGGGATACCATCCAGAGGGACCTTAATAGCATGGAGAGGTGGGCCCATGGCAATCTCATTAAGTTCAATAAGACCAAGTGCAAGGTCCTGTACCTGGGTTGGGGCAATCCGAAGCACAATTATAGGCTGGGGGGAGAATGGATTGAGAACAGCCCTGAGGAGGACAGCTTTGGGGTGGTGGTTGATGAGAAGCTCAACATTAGCTGACAATGTGCGCTTGCAGCCCAGCATGCCAGCCACGTCCTGGGAAAAAGCATGGCCAGCAGATGATTCTTGCCCTCTACTCTGTTCTCATGAGACCCCACCTGAAGAACTGTGTCCAGTCCTGGATACCCCAACACAAGAAAGACATGGAGCTGTTGGAGCAAGTCCAGAGGAGGGCCCAGAAGATGATCAGAGGGCTGGAATACCTATTCTATGAAGACAGGCTGAGAGAGTTGAGGTTGTTCAGCCTGGAGAAGAGAAGGCTCTGGGGAGACCTCATAGTGGCCTTCCAATACCTGAAGGGGCTACAGGAAAGCTGGGGAGGGGCTTTTTACAAGGGCTTGTAGTGAGAGGACAAGGGGTAATGGTTTTAAACTGGAAGAGTGGAGACTTAGGTTAGACATTAGGAGGAAACACTTCAGTACGAGTATGGTGAGACACTGGAACAGGCTGCCCAGAGAAGCTGTGGATGCCTCCTTCTTGGAACTGTTGAAACCAGATGCACAGGGTTCTTTTACCAGCTCCAAGCCTTGTCTACTTCTGTTTCTACCAACCTCAGGATGCCATTAGATGAACTGAGCTCAAGGTGTTAGCTCCAAGACCTCACGCTGGTACCCCTGCAGAAGTGAAGTTTTACCAGGATAGGTGGGGCTGAGGCTGCCCAGCAGGAGCTGTGTCCACTATAGAACACCATGTGAGCAGCACAACAGTGCCACTTTCACTACCCCAAGAAGGCCTCTGAGCAGATGGGCATCCCAAGAACCATAGCTCAGCTGTGGAAATGTGCAAGAAAGAGAGTGGCCATCATGGTACTGGATGGCAGGCACGTGGCACTCTGCTCTTGCACATGCTGGTGATGTGACTTTAGCAAAGGTGCTTGTAAGGCTTCAGAAGTGCACAGTATGGGTTGAGTTTGTAACTGCAGTTGGTCCATACATTAGCTGGTATGGCTGTGATTTTATTGTGGCATTGCAGCTACCTGGTCATTCTGTAACCTCCCTGGCAGCTGTGGTCCCTAAGCCCATGCAAGTTGAGACAACAAATGCAGGTGAGAGAGCATGCCAATCTCCCATTTTTCCTGAGCAGAGGAACTGTATGACAAATGTCCCAATGCACCAAAGCACATTGCTCCTCACATAGCTAGTCTTCATGAGACAGCTCAGATGAATTAGATCATGTGTCTGTGACCACTAGTTCACACATTAGAATGGAAATTTCAGGTCAAGAGGACAAGGAAATTCTATACCCATAATATGAGATATGCTTTCTTTACCAAAAGGGAACTGCTAATCTTGTTCAAAAGACTTTTTACTCCACACTACTTCAGACTGCGTGGAGACAACATGTTTAAACAAGGGAGTCTACTTTTTCTGTCAAAAGCATTAACTCCTGGCTGCTTCCCACATTAAAATCACAGAAGTGTTTTGTGGTTTTTGGTTGTTTGTTTTTTCTTTTGCAATGGTAATAGAGGATATATGTAGTGGCTGTCTCCTAAAAGATTAACATCCTGTCAACTCTACCAAACTTCCTGATCTTCAACTTCCCACGAAGTCCACAGTGTGTCTACTTACATTAAGCAAAAACAGATTGCAGCCAGGATGGGAATTTTAACCAACCATTATATTCCCTACTCTATTACCCAGTCCCTAGAGACATTTAAAATAAATTTAAAAAAAAACAACAACAATCACCAAAACAAGAAAACAACAACAACAACAACAAACAAGCCACCACACAAAAAACCCTCCACCAAAACAAACAAAAAAAACAACACAAAAAACCACCAGTAAATGCAGCTGCTGTACTTAAAGAGGAACTCTGGGATCTAAGACAGCACACCTGTCTGAGAACACATCGTACTGTGAGCAGCCTGCTTTCCCATTTGGTACCAATATTTCTGCTGACCAAAAGCTTTCTACTCCTCTCCCAGTCCTACAGGATCACCTAGCCATTTCTCTCCTGCCTTCAGTTAGGTGCACAGATTGTCTTCCCACAGCCCCATTTGAAAAGGCAGTGCTGCTCCAGTGAAATTCAGCAAAAAGTCAACCCAACTAGGGCGAAAACTGGCAACTCTGCCAGTTACTCTGGGGTTTTCCAGGCCAGAACACACACCTCTGTGAAACTAAACAGACTAATCTGAGAAAGACAGAGGCAGAACTGCAAGGTTTGCTGGAGTGACACCAGCCACAGCATTGGAACGGTGGCTTAGGCAGGTTAGGATGGAGAAGCTCTGCCTGAGCCCTTGTGGCACACACTCCCAAGATCAGCACCGTCCAACCTACACTGGTGCATACATGGAGTGTTTGCACCCAGGGATAGGGAATCCTCTATCGTGCCTTCCTGGCATGCTCTCTGACCCCTCCAGTGACTCTGAACCCCTCAATCATCTTAAACCAAACTTAGTAGTGGCAGAAGTCCCAAAGGCATTTAGCACCTACAGGCTTTTCCATGACCTTCAGGGGCACAGTAGAGGACAGAAGACCTACTAGCAAATTGTTATGAACAGCCCAAATTTGAGGAGTGCTTTGATCAAAATATATTCATAATAAAATGAGTCCAGAAATAAAACACTGAATATATTAGTTGTAATTTTGAAAGCATATGGAAGACAAAGGCTATTGTCCCCTGCTATGCTGAGGTTGCTGGTCTGGAATGCTACCATTGCTTTCCAGAAGAAATCTAAGAGGCACTTCCTTCTTTGCAGATTGTGCAGTTTGTGTGTACCCAGCTGGCACTTTGGAAGATCAGCACAGCAGTGTGCATAAGGGGCAGATGTAGGGCCCAACTTGAAACAATAAGCATTAAGTAATATTTTCTGACAGGAGAACCAACCTACCTCCAGACTGGATGTTTGTCTTTGTTGGAGCAAAGAAGATTACAGGCCATTTAGAAATGGGCTAAAATAACCATTCCGTTGTCAGAAATTACACAGCCTGGCAAGTCACACTGACCCTCCAGTGCATCTCTCTAAGCTTCAGACCTCTCTCAAACACTTCAGGATTTTGTTTCCCAATGCTCCTCTGACAAACAGCAAGTAAACATTGTCCCTTTTCACAATAACTTCATGAAACTAAGGCACTTACACAAATCAGCAACTGGCAACAAAGATCTACCAGCTGTAGACCACCACTTCCAATATGCAGAAGTGAACCACATGGACAACACTGATCCAAGTTGTCATCATTGATGATGAGGAGGAGGAGGACAGTGGCTTTAAAAGCCTTGTTGATGATCTCAGTTTCTCAAGGCAGAATAAAAACGTGGTACTAGACCCCTCCTATGCAACTGGCAATGCATTGACGACGTACAGAAGTCCAGCAGTAGGCTCTGTGGCTCAGTTTTGCAACTGGGAGTGCTGGTGCTGGGTTGCCTAAGTGAGACAGGAAGGGACACAGGGTCATCATCTTTCTCAAGTCCCAGGACAAATAGTGGTAGGAACAACTTGTAAGGAAAGCCAAAGGAGGTAGTAGAACAACTGGGTAAATTCAAGAACAAATTACCAGACTAGCCATGTCCTTCTCACTTCCCTAATGATACATTTGAAACATCTACTAGAATACCCAGCATTGCTGAAAAGGCACCACAGTTGCAGTGAAATACAGCTACTTGAACTCAGACATCCAAGCTGAAGGAAAATTTGAAGAGTATTCTAGGGCTTCTTTTAAAACGGCTAAAGTATTGTCTAAAAAAACATTTCCCTGTACAGTAAATGAGGAACATTAACATCTGTGTCTTGCTTCAGCTAGTATTAAATTTCATCATAGCTAATGCAAACCACCAACAGCTGCTCTACAACAGTCCTAAAAGCAACAAAAAGGCACTGATTGTGCAAAAGTGCAGATTGCTCCTACCTCTGTGCATCTCAAAATACATTGTGGAGAGGAAAATCTTGTTACCCTAGAATGGAACAGAGATTTTAAAAATACACCACGAGAGAACTGTCATTTGCCTGGTTATTTGAGACCTTCCACATTTCCAGAGGAAAGAAATTTCAGAGCTGCCTGTTACAAGGAATTCTTCTCCTTGTATTTCTGGTAAGCATCCAATATCTCCTTGACAACACTTGGATCATCAAGTGTGGTGACATCTCCCATGTTGTTTGATTGTTGAGTGACTACTTTCCTCAGCAGCCTTCTCATGATCTTCCCTGATCGGGTTTTAGGAAGACGTTTCACCACCTGCAGAAAAGGTAAAGACACACCTATATCAGAACCTGGGTCCTGCTGGAAACAAGGATATCTGGCTGAACTGTCCTAAGCCTGGCACACCATCTCATGGCCACAGCTCCTTTGAGGTCAGTATTTGATGCAAATACTGGATCATTTAGAATACTAGTTTATGTCCAAGGAAAGGAGTGCCAGTAGCATTGATTCCTTATGCCAGGCTTAGGCTGTGTCCTTTTATTCTTATTTCAGTGGACTTTATTCCCCGTTTACTCAGCGCTGTGTATCTCCAGGCTGCAGGAGACACAGCCTTCAGGTCCTGAACCAGCTGTTAAGTATGGAACTGGAAAGCC